ATTGTATCCCTTATAATGATTAAATTCTCTAAACCTCACTCATTTTTATTGTACATTTTCATGAAGTCTTTGTATAGCAACTTATGACATTTTTTCTATCAAGATACAAATTATTATTATCTTACAATATATATCAATCGCTAATGTTTTAAGTTTGGACTAACCCTCAACCCATGCCTTTTGTCTAGATGTTCGTTTAGAATCTGAATCCAAGGCATTCATATACACTATCGAAGGTTCTCATCTTAACATGTTCCTTCAATGTATAATTTTTCAACAATTTGAATGTTCATTCGCTAAAATTTCTTTATATTTAGTGTTTGTTCTAGAACAAAAATTTCATTACTTATATTAATAATTGGTAAAGTGTGTATACGACAGACAAATATTTCAGATGCATTCAAAATTATGTATTCCTTGAATAATTAACTTATAATTTTTTAACAAAATATTTTGTAGCAAAATTTAAAAGTTCATACAAACATTGTGGCTTTTCACATGTATTTAAATTATCGGATATATTTTAGACACATCTATTATTAATATCTAAACAAATATACAGAGAGTTTATTTTACTTTCAACACTAATTAATACCTTTGAACTCAGCTCCTTGGGTGGAATATGATATGCCAAAATTTGGTATGAAATCACAGGCTGACAACTATATAGACTTGTTACAATTTTCTTACTAAACTCATATTTATTAAATATTCTTCTTTTGACCCAATAGCTCGGTTTACACTATTGTAACTATAAATGTTTTTTGTTATATATATATGTGAAGTAAAATATTAATGTTTATTTATTACCTCAATCGTCGAATTTAAATTTTTCTTAGCATGAAATGTGATATTTAACATACATCCTTAACAAAGATGTCTCTAAATTTCACACATTTCATTTTTCAAGGGATCTCGTGTCCCATCCTAGAATATGAAGTCAAAGTTCATCAACTATTATACTCAAGTCATTTGGAAACTTCAATTTATAATCTTTAACAATAAATAACTCCAAGTCTGAAAAGAAAATTTCTTAGCATATGATGTAAGACCTCAATAGAGCTTTTTCAATCAAAATGACCTAGAGAAAATATTAGTAATGTGCACTTAGGATACATTATAAATACTGCACATGCGATTCATATGTTTTCACTTGATGAGAATGAATAAGAAGCTTTTTTAATAAATAACTATTATTTCTTGGTCAAGTTTCTTTCAGATCTTATCGACAAAATATTATTATTTTTGTGTGTTTGTTTAAATTATTCATTAAAATGTAAAGTATTATTAAGTTTTAGTAAAAATGAGCAGAAATTTACATAGCAATCTTTAATCATATTTTTTTGGTTTAAAAAGTGTGATATATATGTCACTCTACGAACATTAGTATACTGTGGCGTACATCGATATAATGCAAAAACAAAATGTGATATATGTCACTCTCCATCATGAATGTCACGTCGGTCGGCATGCCACCGGCTGAACCATTCAACCGATATCGGTCATGAAATCGACATGATACCATCGGTATGACCGGTATGATCGTTTTACGAATTTCTAAGTAAAATACATAGTTTTAGTGAATTTAAGTATGAGTACATGTAATTTTATTTGAAATATCATATTTTATTCAAATCTCAATATGAATTGTACGTAAATTGTCTTCAAATATGGTTTATATATGATTAAATTCATTTGATAATAATGATATTTTATGTTTTTATATATTTTATTAACCGGCATGAATCGACACAAACCGGTTGTAGCACTGGTAAAACCATTCCACTTACTAAACCGGTTTGATAACCTTTCTCTCCATATATTATTTATAGATATAATGTAAAAACAAAAAACAAAATTATTAGATAAAAGAGAATTAAATATTAAATGAAGAGAGAGACAACTCCATAAATAGGTCAATAATTATTTTTTTGTAAAAAAATTGTCCACCTTGGCAACTTGAGATCTATTCAAATGCTTATGTGGCAAAAATTTAATTTTGAATGGTAATTATGTATAGATAGATTAGCATGAAATTTATAAAATGGTCCCCGCAAATTTCAAACTGCAAAACAGTTCAAGAATTGGGAAACTTTACCTTTTTCGTCGTAAATTTCATACCTCATTTCAAAATTAGGTGTTTGTCGATTACGTGACGATCCTAATGATGATTGGCTTCACTATGGTACCAAGATTTCAAATATGGTAGATGTTGATCTTATATTTGATCTTTCTAGGGATAATATGAATAATTAGCTTATTATATCGTATCTTTCTATAAAAGATATGAATAATGACCCTCCATAAACCATAAACCGGCTCAAGATCAATAACCAAATCTCACTACAACAAATTCGGCCTATTATGATGAGGCGATTTTGTCATATTAGATACCCATTTTGTCATATTATACCTAATATGACAAAAGGTGTTGTCACAAAGGTTTGTCATTTTATCGCCGTCAGGATAGATCAAATGTGACAAAATTTTAAAACAAGGTTGTCACATTTACTTTCAGTATAGCCGAGCTTCTAGATAGTCTATTGTGACAAACAAAGATGTTATGACAATATATTTTGTCAATACGGTTGTCATAATCTGGTGATTTTGGGAGAAATAGTTTTTGGAATAACCAACACAAATTATAAATTAAAAAAAAACTCCCGACGTACACAGATCATGGCCTGGATTTTTTCCAAAGAAGATATGTTTCAAGTTTTGGATTATGTCAAGGAGCTCCACACTCATTCCATTAATGACAGAATAAAAATTCGTTCAAGCGACAACCACTAAATAAAAAAAAAAAAAACCAGATCTGCAAGGGGTGTAAACGGAAAAGAAGAGTACAAATAATGAGAGCTCGATGCGATGGCACTCAACTACGAAATAACTGAAGAAAGTCCCCGGAAAACTCCAAAAAACCCAGAACCCCAAAAATATTCTCCATTTGCTCACCATAGCAGAGGATGAAGGGAAAAGCTCGAACAGAGAGCTCAATTCCAGATCTGGAAGGAGCGGAGGAATGGAAGAGGAAGAAGACGCCTTCGGACGTATAGGGACAACGTCACTACCATGCAGCACCTCGCCATCACCGCTAGACTGCACCCGCTATAATTCCTCCCCTCGATTCCGGCGTTGAACCAGATTCGGCCGCCGCCTCTATTCTCTTTCCATCCTCGCGATCAGCACCCTAAAATGAAAAAACATAATAAAAATAAAATCGAACAAATAAACCTGATCTGCATGAGACAATCTTACCGGGACAATGACCTAGGTAGTCGGATCTGAGTTTCTTGCCGGCGACGGAGAAGAAAGGTAAAAGAGGTTGAGAGGGATCAAAAGATGAAAAAATTACAGTGGCCGACCTTGTCATCGTCGTTGTCCGCACGTTGCCTCTATTAGCCTGTTCGGAAGAATAAAAGAGGAAGAAACCAAGAGTGGGCTAGGGTTTTATTTTTCTGGAGTAGGAAGGGGAATTTAATCGTTGACAGAAGGAGAAGAAGGAAGAGAGAGAGAGAAAGAGGCGGAGGCAAAGTGTGGGGAAGGTGAGCGTGATTTAATTTGGGGAGGGATTTTTGAGGAGAGATTGAGCGGGCGGGGAGAGGTCATTTGGGCGCCCACTCAAAAATTGGAAATTTTCAATTTGGAGCCAAAAACGAAACCACTATATTATGACAAACATGTCTTTTGTCAAAGCCAAAACCACTATATTATGACGAACATGCCCTTTTGTCAGCTCGTCGTCGGATTATTGCTATCTATTGTGACAAAATACTTTGTCATTTAAACAATTAAGGGAGGCATAATATGACAAAAGCTACTCTGACGATATCATTTGTCACTTTTGTGTCTCTTACATCCCGATATGGGATACCTATTATGAAAATTTTAATTATGACACGAAATATTTGTCACATTACTCACTTTAAATGACGACTTATTATGACAACGATTATTTCGTCACATTAGGCATACCAAATAGGACATTATAATTTTGTCATATTACAATACCTATTGTGACAAACAAAAAATGACAAAATAAAATTTTTGTCCTAATAGGCCAAATTTGTTGTAGTGTCTGGACCCTTCATTTAGAAAATCCAGATCTAAGGATGGAGAATTAAAGGTCATTTTTATTTTCACTAGCTTTCTTAATTGACTCATATCTTTTTTGTTTTAACTCGGATTTTAATTTTTTTTTGCACAGATGGAACGAGTTCATCGTGCTCTACAAAATGAGATCAATTTTCAATATTTTTTTAGGGAAAAAATTTTTTGGCCTCTCGGTACCAACTGCATACCATATGGTATCTTCTTCGTTTTTCATTCGTTTTTGAAAACGTTTGCACAGCAGGGACGAGTTCATCATGATCTATTGGATCTACAAATTTCTAGGTGAACAAATTACAAGACCAAAAAAATACCACCAAATACCATACAATACCACCCTGGTACGGGGTGGTATTTTATGGTATCTTATGGTATACAATGTTAAAAGTCATAAATGACAATTAATATACTTCCGCTATCATGTATTCAATCATCCTACAGTCTTGGTTTGTTCATACCACCATGGTACGCTTTTCAAACCATAAGTATGCTCTTATTTCAATACCATATGATATAGACTGGTAAAAAATGACTCAATTTTTTTTTGTTCGAAAAATATATCAAAGTGGATATCATTTTGAAGAGCACAATTAATCTGATCTAACTGTGCAAAAAAAATTAAATTTCGACTTAAAACGAGTGAGAAATCGTCTGTCAAAGATTAAGGAGGGGAAAATTAAAGGCTTTCCAAGAGAGAGAGGATGCAGATGTCATGCTGATGTGGGCGGGTTACTCATAGTTACTCACCATAAGGTTACTGACCTGATCCATTCCCCATAAACCGTTATACAAAAGATGGAGAAATTTAATTCTCCATCTAAAACACTTCTTATATAGAGGCTAATCACAGTAATTGTATCAATATGAAGGAAATTCTTAGATCCTTTTCCGTTCAGAATCTCTTCCATAGTTCCATGAACTAAATTTCCAATAGCTAAACTATAGCTTCTTGTGACCAAAAGAGGTTATGAAAAACAACAAACGGTCGCCAAAGATTGTCTAGACCATGTTGTTACCTTGGCGACCCTTAATCCTGGTCACAAAAAAGCCCATTTTTTTTTTTGTATTGAATACATATTCATTCATAGTTTCATACATATGCACACACACATAAGTGGGCTTGTTATCAAATTAAAGCCTCGTCATATATGCTTGTATTTCTTCAAGTGTTCTTCCTCTTGTTTCCGGTACTAACTTGAAAGTAAACATAACTGTGAACCCACAAGTTGCTGTTAAAATAAAGAATGTTCCTGGGAAAAACACAAAATTTTAAAATTAGTCTCGTTGCAACTTAATAAGTCAACCAAATTTTAGCTAGATATGATTTATCTAAAAGAATGGTATACCAGCAGGGCTCCATTGCATCATGAAGTTGAAGGAGTAAGTCATGACCCAAGAAGATGACCAGTTGACTAATGTGATGAGAGTTCCAGCCAGAGCCTTTACATTCATGGGAAATATCTGTTTTTTGTTTTTTTTGTTTTCACATCAAGGTAATGAAGAATAATTGAGCATGACTTGGTAAATATAAACTCTGAAGGAAGTGAACTAATGAGTTAATTTGGATCTTTACCTCTGACATTATAATCCAAGGGATTCCTCCCATCCCAATTGAGAAAGCAGTGAAATATCCCTGAAGAGAATTTCTTTCAAGATTAGAATTTGCCCTTATATAATATAATTACATCAATAAAGCCCATGGTAGTTGTTGTCTATTTTAGAATAAATTCACTTACAGTAATTCCAGTGATAGCCAAAATTGGGGTGAAGTCCTTGAAAAGGTTAAGCCCCTATTTATGAAAAACAAAAGAATTAGAATAATAATGAATAGAATCACAAAAGAATTAGAATAATAATTAACTAATCTTAATTACCTGTAATACAAATGATAATCCTACAAGGAAGCTACATATGCTCATTCCACCTGCAGAAACCTACACCAAAAAAAAAAAAAAAAACTTATTTCACCTTAATTAGATTAATAACTGATTATACATTATCCATTGATTTCAATTGTCGTTTCAAAATTACCATGAGGAGAAGCCTTCTTCCACATATATCCATCAGGAATATCCCAATGGCAGCAATGGGGACCTACTACAAAAGAATGACAGCAACAATAAAAACAACATAGTATATACTTCGCAAATAATGGTAATTCCTCTCATTAATTAGCTGATGAAATTACAGCACCTGGATTACAGAAATGATTATGGTCCCAATAGTGGTTGAAAAACCTGGCCAAGCAAATATATTTTAAGTCATGCCATTCATGCGAATTGTCTGCCAATTATAATGGAGAAATTAACTAAAGCCAATTCATCAAACTTTGTTGACTAATTTACCAGTTTTTTGGATAACACTGCTGCCGTAATATGCAACACCCGATGTGCCTCCAAGTTGTTGAAGAAACATTAGACCAATCCCAACCTAATATTAATAAAAATGAGATGTGTTTATGTACAGAGTGCACCTATGAAAAATGAAATGTGTTTATACAATAACTATAATAATATGATGATGATAAAGGTAATACGTGTCTTACCGTGAGGGCGTGAGCATATTTGCGCTTGAAAATGTCCCCAACACTAGATTTCTCATCGTTTTTCATTTCATTAATGGCACTCTACAATTATTTCCAAGCACATGCATCATGAGTAATATTATCGAATCTCTCTACACAATTAACTCAAGAACACAATCCTCAAACCCAACTTACTTGGATCTCATCTTCTTCTACAGAAACATCAGCATTTTTCCCCCTCAACCGTTGCAAAGATGCTTTGAACTCTTTCACCCGTCCAACTCTTGCCTAAACCAGAAACGGGAAAGTTGACTAGATTTCTCATCGTTTTTCATTTCATTAATTATCAAAAAAAATCTTAATGCGTCAAAATATTAGCCAATTTCACGCTATCATTAATAATTTTGTAACTCTTTCTTTAGTTAATATGCTAAAATTTTGGAGTGTTGACTTTCACGAGTCTCTTCCAAATCAGTATCATGTTGCCAAATCAATATTACTAACAAAATTGCTAACTGGAAGTTAACATTTTGCTAATTTTTAGTATTTCGATAGATTTAAATAATATAAAAGAATCTGAAAAAGATTTGTTGCAAAAGATTGGGAGTACTGACCAACCATCTTGGAGACTCGGGAATGAAGAATATCCCCACCAGTTGCAAGGCCCCCGGAACAAGAGCTGCATTTGGCATTTGCATCCCACGATAAAAAAAAATTTCATATATAATCAAATTCGATCCTCCAATTTTTATTTTTATTCAGACGAGGACATTATTATTTGTGAGTTTTTACGTACAAATGACGGCCAAGGTGCGCCAGGAAACGACGTTGCCGACGAAATAAACCAACGAGAACCCGCAATTCACCAGCAACTGAGAAAATCAGTTTGGCAGCCGTTATAATCAACGGAATTGAATATCTGCACGTGGGAATTTAATTTCTTTGGATTCCGTGACGAAAAGGGGCAAAGCAAACCTGGTTGGCGTATGAAAATGCTCCTCTGTACTCTTTCGGTGTTATCTCTGCTACGTAGATCGGCACCTGTTTTTTTGGTAACCATGGATTATATTGGATGAAAAAGAGATATATAATCTACACAATAAATAAAAGCCAAATGAGAAAACTTGAAGCTCCATTTCAAATTTCCTGCATCCAGAGTGAAAGTAGGAAGGACATTTTGGTCTTCACAATTACTTTTTTTTATTCATTAAAAAGACACTTACTAGGATTCGAACCATGACCATTTTAAAGAAAAACAAAGATCATAACCAATCACACTAAGAACATTTGTTGTATCTTTTTAAATTAAAAACATATAATTGCAGAGAGGAAAAAACTCTTCCCCCATTTAAAATTCCCTGCTCCAGGAGCGTTTGTAGGAAGAGTAGAATATGGAGTGTCAATTTTTTTCTTTTTCCTCTGTGGAACGGGCCAACTTACCGTACACATGCGGATTTAAACGGGTCCAGGAGTGTCAATTTTTTTCTTTAAGTCCTTTTATTTCTCCATGGTGGTAAAATATATATATGAAAAGGCAAAACCAATACTCCTTTTTATTGCTAAAAAGAAAAAAATTAACAATAAACTAATGCATGGATTCTAATGGGCTAACCGCTAATCATAAAATAAAAGAGTTGAACGGGTCTGACCTACATGGGATTTGCCCATCAAATAAAACAAATGAACATCATGGGTTTGCCATTCTAAAACAAGCTATTTTCTCGAGCATAATATATACTATGCTATTATTGTATATCTTAGTGGTTAAAATATAATGTATTTTAAAGTTATTCAATGGTTCAACTTCGACCAACTCAATTAGTCCAATTTTTATCATTTCAAATATATATTATGTAATTCTTTGATATCATAATGATTAAATTATAGTGTATATTATAGGGAATCGTTTGGTATTTGTTAGTAAAAAACTAAACAGAAAGATCTATTTGGTTATTTTTAACATTAAAACGATCCTAAACATTTTCAGTTTCCTTTCGAAATTCTATAGTTTTATTCCCGAATCAGTGATGTGCAAATGGTGAATTGCAGTCATCTCTTTTCTTTCATTATTTTTTATTTTCAAATATAAAGTTTAAAAGTAAAGAATAATTAGAGTTTGGCATGGGTCGGTCAAACAAGCTGAATTTCAAGTTTTGGCCCATTTTGATCAAGTCTAATTTATAATCACATGGTTCTCTGATACCCTATAAAAATCTCAATCCAAACCAGTTTGGCAAGTGAGTCCGTGTTTACCACCATTTTCTAGGGATACAGGAACGGTGGTTCCTATCCCAAATCGTGATGTTCATTCTTGATTTCTTTAGATTTTATCATGGCTTGGCAAAAAACCAGAAAGCACAATGATGAGAAGATGAAAGTTTTATAAAGCAAATTAATCGGCCAACGGGCCGAGTAAAAGCTAGCAACGATTGTGAGATGCTCATTTCCCAAAAATCGGCGGGATATGCGATTTTTTATTCGATTTTCTGGAATTCGGTTTCTATAAAACTTACTCCACCTCATCATATTACCAGAAACAATATTGTTTCACAAGGTAACATGTACTTGATTTTGGTTCATAAGACTGATTTTTTATTCGTTGCATCATTCATGTCTCTTTTCTACTAACATTCACAATTTTTATCACGTGTTTCCCAAAAAAAAAAAACTATACAACAATAAGCTATACACCCCATTACATTATCAAATTTCATACCTCATCTTCGTCCGGCCAAATGGCCGGGACCCACGCTAGTAATAATAAATATGGAAGAAAAAAAATAATGTAGAGCCTAACTTACCACATAAGTGACGAAGCCAACTCCAAACCCAATGGACAGCCTTCCAGCAACCAGCCACCGCTCACTCTGCTCCAGTGGAACGTACAATAAATACTTGTAAATTCGAGACTGAACTAAAATCATATATATTCGGATGGGGATGAATTTACAGAAATTGATAATTACTCTTCATTTTAATTAATTAAGTCCATTTTCACTGTGGCAGTTCACCACTCAAATTAAAGAAATCCACGTACACAAATCTACAAATTAAAATTTACTTTGAAGGGTTGCTTGCGCTTGGAACATTGAAGCTATTTGAATTGTTTAATGGTGTCTACCATGGTGGTTGTTGCCACTATGACTTTCTGAAATTAATATCTTAATTTTACAGAGATTTAAAATCTTTAATTTCAGCAAAATATAAAAGTCATTATATCGTTTCCTCTTTAAAAAAGTATAATAATAATAATAATAATTGAGTTTGAAAATGGAGTAAGGACAAATGATTATTTAAACTAAAGGGGAAAAAACAAAAGAAATTAAAAGAGCGGGCTCATGTCACTAACCTGCGCAAGTGCTATAGCAAGCCAGCCAATGGTGGAGAATATCTGGGAAAGCCACATAATCTGCATTTCCAACAACAAAAACAACACCATCCCCTTTCATTCCGTGGAACTCTTCTCCTTTTCAATGAACGATAAACCATGTTTTGTTCTCCAATAATAAAACGATTTCATCATCGACGAAATTGCTTACTTTCTTTCTGCCAAGCATTGCAGTTAGTCTCCCAGAAAACAGAGCACCTATCATCCCACCCACCTCCATGATCGACCCAAACATTGAGTACTGCAAACCAAAACCATATATATAGGGAACACAAAAGCTCGCCGTGAGAAATATAAGTGGTAATTTCATTCCAATACGTCGCCATGTTATCGTCTCATGCTAATTTAGTGAATTTACCTATTTTCCACTTTACTAATATCGAGAATATCGACAAATTAAACCGATCTTACTGGGATTTTTATTCTAAAAAGATCTTATTCAGTTGACACTAAAATCTTTGTAAGTTGTCGATAACCATTTCGAAAATAAGTGGTTATAACACTTAGCACCCTCACAGACAATTGGTCATCCCATCACAAATCATATGAGTAGTCACGAGCGAAAACGATGCCTACACCACCTTCTCCTAGTAGCCCAGTGAAATTGTTTTTGACAACCATAAAAAATTAATTGCAGTGTTTTGAGTATTCACTATGAAAGACTATGATGTGAAATTGTCCATTTAGGAAAGGTGACAAGGACTGAAAAGGATAGGCTAAAAAGACAGAGGAGTCAAAATCCTAATACATTGGGCAGATACTTACAGTAGCAATGGAGAGGTGCAAATCCTCCATGATTCCGGATTCCGCTGGCGATGAATATGACAGCTGCAAATTAAACCAATCAATCTACACACTCTCTCTTTACCCACAAAAATATATTTATTCAAAACCCAATCAAGTATTTTAACTAGGGCTGGCTATTTGGTTTGGGTTTTTTGGTTTTACTCGAAATTGGATCGTATAACCCGGACCGAGACCGGATAGTAAACAATTCAATTCAATCTTTGGGCTTAGATATGAGGTAAAAAACCGTTCGGGACCGGATCGAAAACTGGATAAAGACGGGATAAGTGAGGTCAACACCCAAAACTTAAGGGTAATTTGCATAATCGGTCACAAACCTTTGCACTTAGTACAAAACTTAACCAACTTCTCACCCTTTCAGGCCTTAGGCCACTCAAATCCCCACAAGTTCAATATAAAATCAAGATCGAATTGGGTCCGGACCGGGTCAAGACCGGTCCGGATCAAGACCGGACTGTATCCAATCCAATCTTTCGTCCTTATATTTTCAAAAAGACCGGACTGGACCGGATCAATTTGGGCCAATTTAACCGTAGCGGACCGTATAGTCACCCCTAATTTTAAGTAGGTATTGTAATTTATATAAGAATGAATTAATAATATAATATGATTCAAATCTCTAAACAGTATTTAAACTCCTGAATTATTACGATCAATCATACACGAGAATTAATTCCGGACCTACCATAACAGAGAAAATTCTTCAATTTTTCATCTTTTTCAAGACACATGAAACTCACAAGACTCGAACAGATAACTCTCATACCTGTTTATTTAAACGAAATTCAACTTACAAATTTGAATTTTGTACAAGTTCATTATGTATGTTTTATGCTTAAATCAATCTTGATATTATAAAAATTTAAATACACGATTACTCTATAAAATCGCTTGTAATATCATAAAATTAAATAAACCTTCGAGCACAATAGCTGAAATAAAAGTATGTTACAAATTTTATACCAACCATTACAAAACCTCCTTTCACGTCAATTCATTAAGAAATACTTTCACATCAAGCCGAGGAATATCTGAGGCCCAATTCCGCTGACGTTGTTCCACTTAAGGAAAGAAAACAAAATCTATCTACACAATAAATAAAAGCCAAATGAAAAAACTTGAAGCCCCATTTCAAATTTCCTGCATCCAGAGTGAAAGTAGGAAGGACATTTTGGTCTTCACAATTACTTTTTTTTATTCATTAAAAAGACACTTACTAGGATTCGAACCATGACCATTTTAAAGAAAAACAAAGATCATAACCAATCACACTAAGTACATTTGTTGTATCTTTTTAAATTAAAAACATATAATTGCAGAGAGGAAAAAACTCTTCCCCCATTTAAAATTCCCTGCTCCAGGAGCGTTTGTAGGAAGAGTAGAATAGGGAGTGTCAATTTTTTTCTTTTTCCTCTGTGGAACGGGCCAACTTACCGTACACATGTGGATTTAAACGGGTCCAGGAGTGTCAATTTTTTTCTTTAAGTCCTTTTATTTCTCCATGGTGGTAAAATATATATATATGAAAAGGCAAAACCAATACTCCTTTTTATTGCTAAAAAGAAAAAAATTAACAATAAATTAATGCATGGATTCTAATGGGCTAACTGCTAATCATAAAATAAAAGAGTTGAACGGGTCTGACCTACATGGGATTTGCCCATCAAATAAAACAAATGAACATCATGGGTTTGCCATTCTAAAACAAGCTATTTTCTCTAGCATAATATATACTATGCTATTATTTTATATCTTAGTGGCTAAAATATAATGTATTTTAAAGTTATTCAATGGTTCAACTTCGACCAACTCAATTAGTCCAATTTTTATCATTTCAAATATATATTATGTAATTATTTGATATCATAATGATTAAATTATAGTGTATATTATAGGGAATCGTTTGGTATTTGTTAGTAAAAAACTAAACAGAAATATCTATTTGGTTATTTTTAACATTAAAACGATCCTAAACATTTTCAGTTTCCTTTCGAAATTCTATAGTTTAATTCCCGAATCAGTGATGTGCAAATGGTGAATTGCAGTCATCTTTTTTCTTTCATTATTTTTTATTTTCAAATATAAAGTTTAAAAGTAAAGAATAATTAGAGTTTGGCATGGGTCGGTCAAACAAGCTGAATTTCAAGTTTTGGCCCATTTTGATCAAGTCTAATTTATAATCACATGGTTCTCTGATACCCTATAAAAATCTCAATCCAAACCAGTTTGGCAGGTGAGTCCGTGTTTACCACCATTTTCTAGGGATACAGGAACGGTGGTTCCTATCCCAAATCGTGCTGTTCATTCTTGATTTCTTTAGATTTTATCATGGCTTGGCAAAAAACCAGAAAGCACAATGATGAGAAGATGAAAGTTTTATAAAGCAAATTAATCGGCCAACGGGCCGAGTAAAAGCTAGCAACGATTGTGAGATGCTCATTTCCCGAAAATCGGCGGGATATGCGATTTTTTATTCGATTTTCTAGAATTTGGTTTCTATAAAACTTACTCCACCTCATCATATTACCAGAAACAATATTGTTTCACAAGGTAACATGTACTTGATTTTGGTTCATAAGACTGATTTTTTATTCGTTGCATCATTCATGTCTCTTTTCTACTAAAATTCACTATTTTTATCACGTGTTTCCCCACAAAAAAAACTATACAACAATAAGCTATACACCCCATTACATTATCAAATTTCATACCTCATCTTCGTCCGGCCAAATGGCCGGGGCCCACGCTAGTTATATTTAGAAAACAATAAGAATAATATTTTAAATTTCCATGTTTGGATTCCTACTGCAGGCAGGTAGCTAAAACGAACAAACGAGACCCCAACTACCATACTTGAGCATTGATGCTTTCGGTTTGAATTCGTAGCATAAAGTATGTATATATATATATTCATTTTTACCATAAGAGATAAAGTTATATGAATTGAATCAAGATATAGCTGAATTTTTTACAATAATATTATAATTAGTAATTACAAGTTCAATTTTAACTGCAACGATTTTTTTTTAACGAAAGCGAAAAAAACATTGTGAAATTCTCCAACAAACAAAACAATGCATGACTGAAAGCTACTGATTAACCGCAAATAAGAAAGTAAGGAACAAAAATCATTTTCCCCGTAGAATCGAGTAAAAAGAATCTTATTTGGGATGTAAGTGAATTTTTTTTTTTAAAGTAAAACAACAATCACGTATTAGTAATGGATTAAACGGGTAGAAGGAATTTTATTTTGACATCAATAGTAGTTTAGGCAAAGAAGAGAAGCGCGAGGCATATATAGCACTTACAGCGCAGCCATAGCAGAAGGAGCCACAGACGGCAATGAAAGTGCTTAAGATGACGGCAGGCGTGGCTGCCGTTTTCCCCCCGCCGGCAAGCTCCTCCTGGCTGCCGCTGCTGCACGCGCCGCCGTGATCCTCTAACAAAGGCTGCCCTCCAACTTCCTCCATTTCTTCTTGTGGAATTTCCTTTCTCTTTTTCTTTTGGGTCGTCGGAATTTGCAGCTCCACGAGGTGTGTTCAAGGGGGCAGAATGGTAGGTTTGTATATATTGATGGAATGGAATTTGAAAGGACAACTTCTCTTGTCTAGCTTATATAAACAACAAGGAAGGGTTGCTCCTTTCGCATGTTCATTAATCTTGTTTCCCTTCTCATTTATATAAAATATAAAACATTTCCTTCTCAAATAATTGGGTATTACGTCACAGTTCACGCAATAAGAGGGTTTATATATGTTAATCTGTTGCGGGAAAATATACTAGTATTATCAATTATCTATACGGTATTCATACAAAATGGTCAATAAAAAAAAGCAAAGAATCATTCCATTGCCTTTAGTAGGCGACACACAAGTCGTCCATCTCATTCTCATCTAATCATTGCCTAACGGCTAGCCAAGAATTTATGAGTTTGTATGGGAATTAATACTTTCATTTTCATAACTATTGTATCCAAATTAGTTAATCGATTTTGGAGGTATGAGTGGAGGATTTGAGGAGATAACTATACCAAATCTAAAAGCGGGTACTTCGGGGAACTAATCCTCCCCCTAGCTTAGGGTTACTATGCATGTAAGATACTTAAGGTTATCGAATGTGGCGAGTGAACTCTTTTTCGTGGGCTTTCGTGGTTATGCACACGCCTCCGAATACGCCTCCCCTAAACCCATGTATAGTCAACTCGATCTAGGATATCGTATCTGGGGCATTAAGCATATGTCTCATTTCAATGGTCACTATCCACCGTCGAAATCGAGGCTTTATCCCAGGTTTTATCTATGAAGGCTAACCTACGGCAGTGGTTCGGTCGCCTCGACCTCCCTAGGTCCCTATTCATACATCTATCAAGTTTTGATCTATGATGCATACCCGTCTAACCCTAGAACTTCATACTCGGCGCAGAAGCATAAAGTAGGCTAATAGATAAGATTGGGGCGCCCTACCACAAACACAATTCAAGATAGAATAGCAATTAAATCAACTAGATAAACACATTCATTCATTCAAACCCTAAAATATCCATACATACAAAATAAACCCTAAAACTAGGGTTTGGGGTTTAGAACCCTATTACTTTAGAGGACTACCCCATAAAGGAGGGAAGAAGAAACACAACAGAAATTGAAGAAGACTTGGGTTGAGGAAGATGCTCCCTCTCTTTTAGCTCGTTCTCCTTCCTTCAGCTTATCTCTCTTCTCTCTCTCCAAAATCATAAATTTCTCACAAAATCAGCTCATCTAAAATGGGCAAAGGGGTCTTCTATTTATAGGCCTTCTAGGGACAGAGAAGTTTGCGGCCAGAGGTGAGGAGATCGTGGGCAGGATCTTCTGAGGAGAGGACGCGATCTGAAAACGCCATCGTCATGGCCTTCTGAAAGGGAAAGGTCGCGGGCTGACTTCGCGGTCGCTATCCACTTGTCGCGGCCGCGATCTTCCTCGCGGCAATATGTGCTTTGGCCGTGACTTGACTGAGGAAACTTTCTGTTTATCCATGGCTCCTTCCTCAAAAATTTCGAGCCCTGAGCCCTCCAATTCGCGGCCGCAATCTTGGGCTTCCAGGCCGCGATCTTAGCTTGACTTCGCTGGCTGTGTTCCCAGCCGTGATCTTCATCTTCCAGGCCACGATCTTTAGCTTCATGCCCCTTAGCTACACTTGTGACCTTGTTTTGTACCTAATTCGCATGTATATTCTAATACACCCTAAAATCACATCGAATTCAAATAGGAATAGAATAGGGATGTAATTGATGATCTTTAAGCATTTATGCACGTGAATTGGCATGAAAAAAACCTTAATATGAAGGATAAATAACACCAATTCAGGTGTTTCACTATGTTTAGAGCATGATGCACTCTGTCAACAAAAAGAATAAAAAAAGAGAGCATGATGCACTCCAATCATTTTATCCACATTATTGTAGCATCATCCAACCATATGATATTATTTACACAAAAAACTAATCACTTACTATATATATTAATTACAAGTGATTTAGTTGATTTATAAGACCAACTCAACATTGAACATTAAATAACCTAATTGTGTCTAATTGGATTGAATTTTTAGACCTATGTGGTAGAGCTCCCTCTCTCTGACCTAAGTGGTCGATTGACCCTTTCTATCCTCAATGGTCGACGGCCACATCCCTTTGACCTACATAGCCTATAAGATTCAACATGCCAGGTCTTTGATGCGAAATCGACAATTGCTATTAAAAAAGCTTCCATAAATAGATCCACGTAATCTATGAAGGCAAGTTGTTGACTACAACAATAAACGCCCGCAAATATGCTACAACAATCAGACGTCTCTACTTAGAGAAAGATAGCTGCTCTTTGATCGATGATTAACAACCATTTAGCTCCGCTATATAATTTCGCAGCAGTTGCATCTCGTATGCACTTTTGTAGATGGAAGTTGTAAAGGGCTTTCGTGGTGCAAAAGGGGCTCAGTTATAGGTTTTGAGTATCTAAGGTTGTAACTTGTAAGGGATTCGAGATTGGGATATGGATGTTTCTCTGTTCTTCGTCAGATCGAATCTTATTTTTCATTTTTTTCTTCAGTCGCTTGACAGATAGAAAATAAAATAAAAAAGAGGCTCAGATATCAGAGCTCCTATGAAGGTACATCTAATGTTAAATATATGCATGAGTATGAGATTTTTTATATGCTAAGAAATGACAGCATTCATGAGATGTATACTAGGTTCACTATGTTGATAAATAAACTAATAGAACTAGGAAGAACATTTCAATCTAAGGAATTGAATAGGAAAATTCTCAGATCCCTACCCAAAGAATGGTTAGCTAAGCTTACCATTATTGAGGAGGTAAAGAATCCGAGGAACCTTCCAACAAACAAGCTAATAGTGTCTTTACTGAGTCATGAGCACGTTGTTAGACAAGTCATTCAAGAGGATGAAAAGCGTAAGAAGAACTTAGCATTCAATCGAGATTCATTAGCTACATTTCTGATAGTGAATCTGAAAGTGATTTTGATAAGGAATTCACATTAGTCAGTAAAAAATTCCATCGCATGTTGAAATACAAAAACCAGAAGCAATATATTAAGAGTCTAGAACTGCTAGCTTTGATCATACTAAAATTTCCTCTCTAAGCAGGCTCATACCCCAGGAGACCAGATATGTTGAAATAGGTAATTCAGACAGGTAGCCTCAGCCTTGCTACAAATTGGGGCTACATTCGGGCAACTTACCCCCCATAAATTGAAAGCTAAGGAAAAAGACATGAAAGCCACTTGGACTGACTACGAATATGAACCTGAAGAAGAGGAGCAGACTGATGAGGATTCACTCATGGGTAATCATTTCAAATGACTTTGAAGATCAAGTATCGTTATATCATCAGTTGGAGAAGACTCGCTGGAAAGTGACCAAAAGTGGTACCTAAACAATGGGTGTTCTCATCATATGACTAGTAAGAAACATCTTTTCTCCTCTTTTAACCCTATAAATGGTGAAAGTGTGTTGTTTTATGATAATGGGGTAGGGAAAATAAATGTTACTAGTACTATAAGTAAAACTCATTTACCTACTATTCAAAATGTTCTTCTTGTTGAAGGTCTCAAACATAACCTTCTATATATTATCCAACTATGCAACAATGGGAATATGGTCAATCTTTGAAGCTTCCTATTGCCTAGTTGAAAGATCAAGGGATAGAAAAGTTATTTTGTTGGAAATAGAATTAATAATATGTATGTTGTTGACTTACTGATTTAGATTCTTTCAACGAAGTATGTTTTGCTGCCTCCTCTCAACAAGAACTTATGCGGCACAAAAGGATGGGTCACATTAGCCTTCAAAAAGCTAGTCGAGCATGTCTAAATTGAATGTGTAAGATGATTACCCATTTTAAAGAAGAAAATAATTTCTTTTGTGAATCATGTGTTTTAGGAAAACATACTAAGAAATATTTTAAACCCAAAGCCGACATTACAACGAGTGAAATGTTTGATTTAATCCACATGGATCTATTTCCACCTTGCAATATCACAAGTTTTGGGTGATAAAAGCTACGTTTTTGTATTAGTGGATGATTTTTCTAAATATACTTGGGTATGTTTTGTGGCTCATAAAGTTGAAACTCTCAAAAACTTTAAATTTTTTGTTACTCTGATTGCTGAAAAAGTCAAAACTATTAAAAGTGAAAATGGTGGAAATACATATTAGAAAAATTTGAACTTGTCTTTAATGAAGTAAGAATTATCACACATTTTCTACTTCTTGCAGTCCCCAGCAAAATAGGGTGGTCAAAAGAAAGAATCAAAGTTTAATTAAGTGTGCTCGTACTATGCTTATTGAGTTTAATTTACTTAATTTTTTATAGGCAGAAGGTGTTAGTACAACATATTGCATTATAAATCGTGATAACATAAGAAAATGATTGAAAATGCCCCTATGAACTGTTAAAAGACAAAAATCCTAATATTTCTTACTTTGACCCTTTTGGATGCCCATGCTATGTGCTAAATACTAAGGATCAACTTGGAAAGTTTTATTCAAAATATGATAAGCGATTTTTCTAGGTTATTTTTATCAAGGGTCAGGCTTATCGTATTTAAAAATAAATGTACTCCAATAGTGAAAGAATCTATCCATGTTATCTTTCATGAAACTGACCTGATTACTAATAATGTAGACCAGTATGTTCTTGCGTTCAATTTACTAGAGATGACTAGACAACATCCACTACAAGTCATTTTCGTGCCTCATGATGATCAACGTTCAATCATACTAACTTAGCAATAGATATTAACTCTGGACAATAGGTGTGTTAAATGAAGGAGATGTTGATTCAGAAGCACTTCCTACTGCACCTATGCATAGTCAAAAATGTCATCCTGTATAGCAAGACAATAGGAAGCTTAAACGAAAATCTTCAAACTCGTGGCAAATACACTCCAATTTAATATGGTTTAGTGTTACAATTCGAACCTAAAATTATAAAGATGCTACTAAAGATGAAGAAGGACATTTTGCTATGATAGAGGAACTAACTCAGTTTGAACACCTACATGTGTGGGATTGGTACCTAAACCGTTAAATCATACTATCATAGGTACTAAGTGAGTTTTCAGAAATAAATCTAATGAATAAGGGATACTCACTAGAAACAAGGCTAGGTTAGTAGCCCAAGGGTATTCACAAGAAGTGGGAATTAACTATGATGAAACTTTTTCCCCTGTTGCCCGTATAGAGTCCCATAAGACTGCTCTGTGCTTTTGCTTATTACTTAGGTTTTCCTTTGTATCAAATATTTTCAGAGTTCCTTTTTGAATGGTATAGTTTAGGAGGAGGTGTATGTCTCTGAAACTCCTGGTTTTGTTGATCACAGATTTCCAAATCATGTGTTTAAAGTAAGAAAGACCCTTTATGGACTGAAACAGGCTCCTAGAGACTTGCATGAACATCTTACATCCTTTCTAAGTGATAAACATTTCTCTCGCGAATAAGTCGATAAACCTCTTCTTTTTGTAAAAATAAACTCTAAAGACTTTCTTCTTGTGGAATCTATGTTGACGATATAGTGTTTGGATCTACCAGTCCAACCTTATGTTCATATATTTGTGATTCTGTGAAAACTGTGTTTGAAAGGAGTATGATGAGAGAATCGTAGTTCCTCCTAGGACTACAAATAAAACAAAAAAAAATGGTACATTTACTAATCAATCCAAATATATTTCAAGCATGCATAGTAAATTTGATATGAATACCTTAAACTCAAGTCCTACTCCTATGGATGTAACCCTAAAATTAGATAGAGACGATACTAGGATTAACTGCTAGTTAGCCAGACATACAATATAGAGTATGCATTTGTGCTCGCTTCCAATCTCAACCTAAAGAGAGTCACCTATCTGTTGTTAAACATATTTTTCGCTATCTCAAGGATACTATGGACTTTGGTCTTTGGTATTGGTCTTTTGTATCGAAAACAAGCTTACTTGATCTTGTAGGATTAGTGATTCCAACTTTGCAGGAAGTTTGTATGATAGGAAGAGCACTACGAGTAGTTGTCAGTTTGTTGGCAGCTCTTTAGAGCCTGGGTTTTTCAAAAAACAAGGAGTTATCACCTTGTCCGCTAGCGGAACATAATACATTTATGCTTGCAGTACATGTACCTAATTACTCTGGCTTAAGAGCCAACTTCTTGACTATGGTCTAATATTCTCAAAAATTCCCTTATTCTGTGACAATACCAGTGCTATTTGCATGACCAAAAATCCAGTCCAACACTCTCGAACGAAGCATATAGAGGTTAAATATAATTTCATCTGGGAACATGTTCAATCAGACTATATTTCTAATCAATATGTTAATACCGAATTTCAACTAGCAGACGTGTTCACCAAGCCTTTACTTACGGAGCATTTTATTTTTCTTTGTTATGAATTGGCTTAACACCAAAGTTTTTGGAACCATGTTTACTCTTAATGTTAACGATCTTGGGTGTATTCTTGAATTTCATTATAATAGTGAAACCCTTGCCCGTGATTCTGAACTCTTGAAGTATGGCTTTGATGTTTCCTCCAAGTTTGTTTGTATCACTGGTCAGAACCCTATTTTTTCTTCTTCGGTTCATGTTTGGATTCTTCAGTCACAGCTTCGTGTTTTTCACTATGTCCTTACTAGTTACTAGGATTTTTATTCCTCATACTAATGCTCTCTATCGTTCTCTTCCAATCGATCTTTGGATCTTAGCTCATGCAATCGATCGTGTTCCCCTGAGTTTTGCTCATCTTATGTTTGGATCCCAGCTTTCGTATTGTGACACCAGCTTCCCCAACCCCTTCCTTTTGGCCCTCTTATATCCCTTCTCCTAGTTTTTCTTGACATCTCTTTGTTTTCCTTCCACACCATTGATCCCATTATATTTATTTTTGCCGACGATGTTGTCAATGACTCGGTCATGCGATTGAGGAGGGGGGATAATAGATCCTGATTCCTTTCCGACGAGGATGCTGAGGACGATGAATGCATGGCCAACAATGTTGCAGATAATGTTCCTGACAATGTTGTAGAAGAATAAGGAAGTAATGAATTCATCTCGAACGATTCTGAGGATGATCTCTGAATTTTGTTGCTCTCGTGATGAACCTTAGAATGGGTTGGATAGATTCAATCATAAGAGAAATTGAACTCGGCCGATAAAGAACACAAAAAACAGGGCTTTGGGTTCTTGTGTGGGATGGAAGTTTCGTGCAATTCTCATGAAGGGAGAAAGGCTAGAGAACTACAGGTAGAAGCCTTGCCACGATCAGCGGGGTTAGCTTAACGATACAAGCACTCAAGCAGCCTAGGTCTCTCCCTAAGCCACTCTCAAACTCACAAAGCAGCAAGCTTGTGAATCAAACTCCAGTTTGTATTCAATCGAACGAAATCTGACAATTACAACGTAGTTGAAAGCCTTAAATAGACCTAATCTAACAAACAAAATAAAACGAAAGTCCAAAACAAAGACAAACTCAGAATTCTGAATCAAACAGAACAAGCCTTAAAGAAATCCTAATTCGCAAAGGATTCGGATTACTGGCTGCAAGACAGCTTTGGCCAGCCTTCATACGGTCTTGCAGGCTTTCGTTTGAAGACTTCAAAGCAGTGTTTCGATCAACCAATTCCACAGCGTTGTAGAAAATAACATGTAGATTCATGTGGTAATAGGATCCAGACTCGACTCTCTTCCAGGTGCGTCGAGTAAGCCTTAAAAGTGGAGCAATCAAACTGGTTCCAATACTTAGCCATTTTTTGCCAGAATTCCAGTTTCGACATAGCTTTTTGAGAGGCTTCAAACACGAACCTCATGGCTTATTATCTGGCTCCAAAGCACTCCACCTTGTATATCATCTTCCCTCGTTCAAAACAGGCCCTTGTTTGCCCTTTTTCGTCCAGCCAATTGGGAGATACTTGAGTGACAAGTAAGGCTCCTGAAACAAGCAAAACACTTGGACAATTTTTGAGTGTTCTTCCATAAATTGAGATGGTGTCTTTTGCAA